AAATAATAAATAAATAAATAAATAAATAAATAAATAAATAAATAAATAAAAATAATACTAAGAATACTAATAAATAATAATAAGTGCGTACAACCGGGGATGACTGGACGGGTTTTTCTGGCCCACTTATTCTGATATATATGAATCCGCCTATTTTCTGATTAATTAATTTAACATAATAATAAAACAAATTTCATTACCTCTAACAATTGATGATAACTAAGATGATGTCTTGGGTCCAGTTCAAAGATTAGCACGTGGTTGACCCCAGCCTTCCTCCATCCCCAAGTATTTAAAGCCAATAAAAAAGTGACCAAAACGATAAGAAAAATCCCTCGGTATATTCTAATGGCTACTTCTAAGTCTCCTTTGGTTTTTGTATAAAAAGCTTAAACAGAACAAAAGAATCATTGATAAGCAATCACCTCCTGAACTTGACCATGCCACATATAAACAGGGAGACTAAAACAATCAAAAAAATCTATTTATTTAAGTGTCTAGTCAATCTAGCACTTTCACATCAATTGAGACACTTTTTTGCTCACACACACTACCATAAAAATGACACCACTGTAAAACTGATGTGTCATGAAGCCGGTGAAAACCTGTCGTCCATTGCAAAAGAAATATATAACTCATTAGTTATCGCGCTATTGTTATCAACCTCTTATTAGCAACTTTATTCTTTTTTTATTTGGTGGACTGGAAATCAATAACTTCAAGAGCAAAAGTGACACCTCAGTTTTACATTTTCTCAATTCTAATTGGCTAACATTTTCTCTCAGATCAGCTGGATTCAATGTTCTATGCACACAATGTTCAACCCAGAGAACTGAGAGAAAACCCTCGTAACATGGGAGAGAACAACACATCAAACAAACTCAACTTATTGCGAGAAAAATCCTTTTAAACTCAATCCACATATGGGGTCAGTAGGGCTCCGAACAGTGACCCCAACCTTTGGAACCACAGTGGTGAAAGTCGACGCGTTAACAGTGTACACAGCCCATGCAATCCCAAAAGAAGCAACTTTCAAAAACAATAGCCTTTTATACTACCTGAACACTGTTCTGAAATTGTCAGCAGAGCCTGGAGTCTGATATTCTTTTGTCTTTGACTGATGTAAGCAAGGCTAAATGACCAATACAATGCGAAGCTGACCAAACCAAGATAAATTGGAGAAGAATAAACTTGAAATCACTAGTCTCCCCCTCCTTGCTACAACACACATTTCCTGGATACCTCCCCCCCCC